TGATTGCTCTCCTCACAAATCAACTCTTTCTTGTTTTTGTTTCATGCTCTCTGTGCCTTGCCCTGGACTTTTATGTCACTTTCTGTCTTCCGTGGTGTTTGTAGTCAGTTTGTAGTCCGTTTGTTCATCGGTTCCCCTTGATTAGTCTCCCCCAGGTGTGTCTTATCTTGTTAAGCTTGTTAGCTCCCTGTGTATATATAGCCCTAGTTTTTCTTTAGTTCCTTGTGAGTTGTTGAATGTAATGGTTGTCTGTTTGCCAGTCATTCTGTTCTTTGTTCCCTTTGGTTTTTGCCTTATTGTTTGTTCTAGTTTTTCCATTAAATGCCTGCACATAACATTATTTTATTGCCTCTGCCTGTTTTCCGCAGCTTCTCCACAACGTTACAGTTTATCACTTGCATGTCTCTGTGACTAGTGCATCTTTGAGCCTATATTTAGTATAAGTAAAATACTGAAGTACTGTTAAAATCAGATACTCTAAGACTTTTACTCAAGTTGTTTTGGAATGGGTGACTTGTAACGTGTAGTGGAGTCATTTTCACTGTAAGGTATCTGTACATTTACTCAAGTATGGTTTTTATGTACTCTTTACATCTCTGCATTTCTGTTCACCTTCAGAGTACTTTAGAGCATTTGCAGTACATTCGTAAGACAGACGTAAGTGCTGTTATGTACTGAAGCTTTGGAAACAAAACCAATGGTTCAAAAACATAAATCTAAATTTGAAGAGAGCCTTGCTACGCATTTTGCTGTCTTCTCCTGTGCCATCGTTACTAAGCAACAGTGTAAACAGCTGCTTGCTTGATGTTAAATAATATAATGTGAACACAGCGGGGGCAGGGGGAGGGGGGAGCAATCGAACCAAGTGTGAAAGCACCCTTAAAGACATTTAAGCACACATTCAATTCAATTTAAATTAAAGTTTATTTGTATAGCGCTTTTCATGATACAAAGCAACTTTATAGAAAATTAAGTTTCTACAATATTTATTAGTAGCTTATCAGTGGTGACTGTCAGTTAACGTACATATGGCAGAAATGTACGGAAAAATCTATTAAAGACGTAATAAAACAGACGATGAACACTTTTAACAGCAATTATTATATGATGCAGTCAAACTTATAGCAAAATGTGGTAGTTCTGTATGTTGTTTCAGGGTTGGCATCATCTGAGGTCCTCTGAAGGGTTGGCATCATCTCTTCTCAGGTGTTCTGGATCCAGACTGAAGCTTGTGTAAATCCTAGTTACCACGGGATGTTAATCCCAGCAGAAACAGAGAAACAAATAGAGAAATAATTAGCGTAGCTGCTGTTCCAACCAAGCAAAGATGATTTGTTTAACCCAAACTAAAGTGAAAGTGACGTGACGTGACCCATACTTGGAATTAGTGCTCTGCATTTAACCCATCCAAAGTGCACACACACATTTTATAGATTTTTGCATGTCACAGGGTTAAAATGGGGGAAACATTTTAATTTAAATATGAATTTATAATAATAAATATGAATTTATTTGCAGGTTTTATTAACAAACTAAAGATAAAAAGTCCAAAAGATAACCCTTTACAATATCCTTTGAAAGCTCCAATGCATGTACTATATGCAATTTGGCCTCTCAAGAAAACAAATCTTGTTATCTTGTATTTTCTTGTTGTCTTGTAAATTGAACATAACATCTATATTTATATATTGCTATGTGTGTTTAGGCATGTGTATATAATTCATAATGTATTATTGTTGGAACTGAATCAGTGACGTGTAAATGTATTTGTGTAGAATGCATATCCTCTCCATGTCTGCATGATGGCACCTGCATCGTAGACTCCTCTCACTCCTTCCACTGCGCCTGCCTGGCTGGATATACTGGAAAGAGATGTGAACATGGTGAGAACAGTCTTTTTAAGAGATAAATTAACAATTTAATGCTATCCATAAACAGAAATGACCAGAGGTTAAGTCTAGACTCAAACTGCAGCTAATTTGCTGTTCCTGCTGCTGCTGTTGTTTTGTTTAAAATGTGTTAACACTTGTTTATACTACTACCCTTACAAGACAAATTCATGCCGTGTATGCACTTTTTATTCTGCCCCTGATGTGTGTTCCATCTACACAAACTTGACAGTAAGCTGACAGGATTCAGAAAAGGAAATCATTTAATGTTATGCTCTTTTCCACTTCTTTTCTCTTTTTTGTTAAAAAAGCAAAGGCTCTCAAAGGCACATGTGAGGCAAACAGGGAGAGGAGCAATTTCTGGCTAATTGCACGGAGAGAATCTAGAACACTGCAGTCATTTACTGGTTAACCTCTAACCTAAGAGTTGCATGACCTGAACCAACCACTAAGAAAACAGTTCAGAGTTATCAATGTCATTTTTGATCATACTGCCACACTGTGGTGCTACATAAATAAATAACAGAATGCGTTCCATCACACTTTTATATCATAGCATGTAACAGTTGTATGCAGGGCTTGTTTTGTGCTTGTGATTTGGACAAGTATATCAGTCATGCACTAAAAAAAAAAAAAGTATTTTATTCTTACTATTATTATAATGTTAAATTGATTTCTAGGACACTTTTTTACCTTTTATAAAGGGCCATTTTCCCCCTAACTTTTTTAAATGTACAGTACTGTATGTGTCATCTATCACAAATTCTTAATTTAAATATGAAACCAAACCACCAGTAGGTGGCAGCACGTGACTGTCTTAATGAGTGAGTTGTTGAGTCATTCATTCGATTAATTTAAACAGCTAATTTATTCAAGAATTAAGCAGGTGCCTTTCTTGACTCACTCGATTTGTTCAAAAAACGCTTAATCTTTTTGTAACAAAACACTGTTGTGTTGCTCAGAGATGCAAAGATTATTGAACTACTTTGTATAAAATCATCGTCATATTGCAATCGTGTTGATATTCGGGAAAACATCACTCTTGGCTGTGTGGTGTTGCTTTTGTGTTGCGTTTGTTTGTTTTGATTTCTCCACAAGTTTCTCTCTCACACACAGTTTGTCTGTGCAAGCCTCAAGTAGTGCGACCTTGTCAATTTTCAGTCACCATTTTTACACCTAATGTAATACAATCAGAATCATTACACACGAAAGTTTTTGGAGGCTAAAGTCTCGGTGCTTTCCTGGTTGTTTTTTGTTATTCACATTTTAATCAAGCTACTTGTCCCAGACAAGTGGGAAAGTGGACAAGCGTTAATGCCGAGCCCTGTGTGTGTATGTATGATCTCCCAGTGCTTGAGTGCAGAAGGCCTTTGGTTCCAGCCCACGGGACTGCAGAGCATCTGGATGTAAGGGTTGGAGGACATGCTGTGTTCCAGTGTGACCCTGGATACACATTAAAGGGTTTCAGGATGGCCACCTGTTTGTTGGATGGGTCATGGAGTACACCAAGTCCACAGTGTGGTAAGCAACTAAAAACTCATTATAAGATATAACAAGAAACAACTTTTGTCATTGTACTTGGGTTAAAATTAATTTGATCATAGTTGAAGTGTGACTGTATCTTTTCATCAGTGCCTGACCAAAACTGCGGCATTCCTCCAAAGCCAGAGCATGGTGATCACTTCCTCGTTTATGGACCAAATGATGTACTTATTGCTATACAGTATTTCTGCGATAAGCTATACAAACTGAATGGAACCCCTCAGAGAACCTGTCTGGGCAATAACACTTGGAGTGGGACAGCACCAACCTGTGTCAAAGGTACTGAACTGTTTACAATACAATGACTTAGTAGCTCTTGGTCCTGAGCATTGGACACTTCTGTGGATAGCTACACTGTAAAAAAAATCAGTTAAATTTACGGTAAAATACCGGCAGCTCTGGTTGCCAGAACTTTACAGTGAAAAATACGGTATCAACATTTTAGGTTTTACAGAACTGTTTAAATTTACAGTGAAATCCAGTATTTCATTAATTGATACAATATTAACATGCAAACCTTTGAGTTATCTCATTTTATTTGCATAAATTGACTGCACGTAATTTGGCCAATTGCCATTTGTTTATAAACTAATATTTATAACACTCAAGTAACGCAAACGTATTAGTTTTAAGAACTATTTAGCTTAATGTCAGGCTCTGCTCTCCAGCACAATGGTGACCCACAAAACACAACAGGAAGATGACTGTTAGGCAAAATCCTCAGTTTTAAAGAGCACTTATATGTGTCCACACTACAGAGTGTTGAAGTGACACTGAAGCGGTGATGAAGTTAATGAGATAATTAAGTGAGGATTGAGCATTAGTGATGAACACCTGTTAACAAGCAGAATCACTGAAGGAAAGAGAAACAAGAGCAGAGAAACACAACTTACAGCCAAAGCCAAAGATGAAATCAACTGAAAATAAAACACATTAAATGTATCAAGATCTCAGCAGAGGAGGATTAAACAGCTCCACAAACAGCATCACCAGCTTCTTATTACTAACCAGTGTGACTTTATTTCCGTCATATGTGTACAAATTATTGAGATTATTTTGTCTTCAATTATTTTTGTATTGCATGTTTTTTATATTTTAATTTTTGTTTTGAAAGTATGGTAAAAACTGGT